CACCACTTCAGACAGATGGTTATGCAACATCTTTTTTAAAACTTCCAGTGTTGAAGCATTCACAACTTCTGGAGGCAAGCAATTCCACTGATTAATTGTTCTAACTTACTTCCTCCAATTAATTGTTTCTAGTTTATTTCCTCCAAGGATTGATTTGCTTTAAGCATGGGTTAATCTGGTACCTCTGCTTTTTAGACCTGCTCTTGTTATTTGTCAACTGAAGCAAACATTTGAATTAAATGCACTGCATGGATGTTTTCTTCCTCATGGGGGTGCAACAGCACCTGTTAAACCTAAGACTGTAGCCTATCAGTGAATGAACTGAGGCAACCTTTACCAAATCTGCTACTCTCCTTCAACCCACCTTTTTATTTATTTATTTATTTTTATTCGTCAATTGCCTACAAGATAATAGGTATAAGTAAATATATATATATACTACAGACATTATAGTTGTGCTTTTAAAGTTGTAGCAATGTTTCGGCAGAATCTCATCTGCCATCGTCAGACTTCTGTATAGTGTTCGTCTGTGAGTCAGACTTTCACAGCTGTTTCTGTTTTAAATTTGGGGCTAGCCTACTGCTGTGCCAGAATGGTTTTTTCTTCATCCTGATTGGTTGGGAGTCTTGGTCTGTGTTTATTGGTCTTGGAGTTTGCTGTGTTCTGCTTGATTTGTGTTTCTAATATCTTCTGTCTGTTTTGTAGCTTTTTTGTCCTGATTGGCTGGCAACACTGTGTTTCCTGTATTGGAGGCTTTTAGTGTGGCTTGGCTCCGAGTAAACAGATGGCTATCATTTATTAGGAAGCTAGGTTTCATCTGGGTGCCTGGTTGAGGTGTGTTTGAGCTGATCTTTTTTTCAAACTCTATGGCTTCTCTGATAATTCTGAAGCTGGGGTTTTCTATAGTGGCTAGGGTTTGGGTGCCATTGAAGTCAATGTTATGACCCATGGCTTTCATGTGTTGGACTAGTAAGGAAGTGTGTTCCAGCTTTTTTACTGCATTTTTGTGTTCATCTAGGCGGGTACTTGTTCTTCTATTGGTCTGTCCAATGTATGTGGCAGGGCATGATCCATAGGGGATTTCATATATGCCTTGGTTTTCCAGGTCAATTTTATCTTTGGGGTTTCTAAGGATGGCTACTATTTTTCTGTCAATTTTGAAGGCAGTCTTGATGTGATGCCTGTGTAGTATCTTACTGATTTTGTCTGTATGTAGGGCAGGACAGCTGTTCCATAGGTCTGTTCATCTTCTAGGTCTCCACCAGACTGTCAATTATTTGGAAGCCTGCACTCACAAAGAAAAAAATCTCCACACCACTAGCCAGGCAAACACCTGGGCACAAACAGATCCCCCCTGATACCTCCAGCTCAAACACACCCCAACCAAGCACCCAGATGCCTCAGAAGCACTTCTCAGAAGCACAAAGCCGAAGACACAAGCCTGAAGATGATGAATGAGACTTCATCGAAACGTTGCCTAGATACTTCCAATTTTATGTGGGAGAAAACCGAATAACCAAAGATCCACATACAAATACCCACAAGAACCTCAGAAAATGTGTGTGTGTGTGTGTGTGTGTGTGTGTGTGTGTTCTTAAGTTTTCACAGGTATTTATATGTATGGTATTCAGCTTTGTTCGGGTATTTTCCCACATTATTAATGTTGCTACAACTTTAAAAGCACAACTATAATGATGTGGGAAAATACCCGAACAAAGCTGAATACCATACATATACATATATACATATACATATATACATATACATATACATATACATATACATATACATATACATATACATATACATACATACATACATACATACATATGTTTTCTGAGGTTTTCGCGGGTATTTGTATGTGGATCTTTGGTTATTCGGGTTTTCTCCCGCGTGGAACTTGAAGTATCTAAGTGACGTTTCGATGAAGTCTCATTCATCATCTTCAGGCTTGTGTCTTCAGCTTTGTGTTTCTCAGAGTAATGTGAGCTTGCAGCTGAAGCCATAGAGATAGAAAAATGCCCACATAGCATGAATAAACGAGATGACACCTCCCGCCTACCAGCCATTTGGAAACCCACCCTCAAGAATAGATGAGTACCTAACATGAAGAATGACACCAGACCCACACCCACGAGAGCCACACAAAATGCTACCACCACACTTCCACGTAGAAAGCAGACTCACACCCACACAGAAGATGAGACACAACCACGGACCAGAAGCCGCACTGCAGCTGCATCACTACCCGCTTCAAACCCCTCTGACCCATACATGAAGTGAACTGATGCCCACCATGAAGATGCGGCATGACCACGAACGCAAAGCCAAACAGCAGGATCACAGCTCACCAGCTCAAATCCCCCAGCAACTAAGACTAACCTGAGCACAACCAAGCCCCCACCTGAACAGAACCAGTCAATCAGAACACAGCCAACCCCCCAACCAATGAGAACACCCCCCACCCAATCAGAACACAGCCAAGCCACCACTCAATCAAGTCACAGCCCCACTAGCAGTTAAAAGGAAGAAGCAGCTGCGAGCTCACATTACTCTGAGAAGCACAGAGCCGAAGAAACAATCCTGAAGATGATGAATGAGACTTCATTGAAACGTCGCCTACATACTTCCAATTTTACATGGGAGAAAACCCGAATAACCAAAGATAGATAGATAGATAGATAGATAGATAGATAGATAGATAGATAGATAGATAGATAGATAGATAGATAGATGTGGTATTCAGCTTTGTTCGGGTATTTTCCCACGTCATTATAGTTGTGCTTTTAAGTTGTAGCAACGTTTTGGCAGAATCTCATCTGCCATCATCAGGCTTCTGTATTGTGTTCGTCTGTGAATCAGACTTTTACACTTGTTTCAGTTTTAAATTTGGGGCTAGCCTATTGCTGTGCCAGAATGGTTTTTTCTTCATCCTGATTGGTTGGGAGTCTTGATCTGTGTTTATTGGTCTTGGAGTTTGCTGTGTTCTGCTTGATTGGTGTTTCCAATATCTTCTGTCTGTTTTGTGGCTTTTTTTCTGTTTTTTCTGTGTCTTGATTGGCTGGCAACATTGCGTTCCTGTATTGGAGGCTTTTAGTGCAGCTTGGCTCCGAGTAAATGGACGGCTATCGTTCGTTAGGAAGCTAGGTTTCATCTGGGTGCCTGGTTGGGATGTGTTTGAGCTGGTGGTATCGGGGGGATCTGTTTGTGCCCAGGTGTTTGCCTGGCTAGTGGTGTGGAGATTTTTTTGTTTGTGAGTGCAGGCTTCCAAATGATTGACAGTCTGGTGGAATCATGTCTTCTATTCATGCTTTCAGGTCTTTTTTCAATCTCTATGGCTTCTCTGATAACCAGAGAGCTATGATCCTTTGTAAGCAGGCAAGATAAACAGAGCTTTGAACATTGGCTGGGGCTTGGAGCGTGTTCCTGATTATATCATCATCTTCATCCCTGTATCTTTATTACAGTATTATTATTGCAAAATGCACAAGTTCTACAAAGATGCTTTGGCCTGAGCAAACATGGAGATGTTTATCCCTTGAACAAATATCCACACCAGTTTGTTCAATTCCCAGGGTCTATTGTGGAAAATTTTCGTGGAAAATTGCAAAACTCAGTTTGTTTTTCTCTTCTCTGGCCTTTCTGAACACATCATTTCTACCTTGTGTAGCATTTTGGGCCCCTTGAATTGTCTTTCTTTATACTTCCACCTTTCTCTTTCCACTTTCCATTGTAGCACATTATGAGTGACAAATATCCCTTTACCTCAATATACAAAAGTCATAACAAGCAGAATTTCCTCTGTAATTTTGGGAAAGACAGTAGAAAAATTGGGAAGCTTTCACAAGAAGAGAGAGAAAATTAAATGATAAAAGGTAGAGGCATTTCCCCCTTATCCCCCCCCCTCTTTTTTTTTCCTCCCTCTTTCTTTTCAAGTTGTAGATTACTTCCTCCAAATAAGAGCTGGACATAGAGAGCTATTTCAAATTCCCCTCCAGATCTGAAGAAAAAAAAAAGGGAACAGGCTATTTGTGCAAATTTCTCCAGAGGAAGGAAAAATTTATAATAGCTTCTTGAGGCCTTTATGTAAAATACCCCCGGGGAAGAGTTTAAGGTTTTTCATGAAAACAGGGAAGGGTAAACTACAAATGTTATACTTTGTCAGCAAAGAAGTCCAAGAACAAAACTTTCCACAATCCATAAAAATAATATCGAAAATTATCTTCACTTTTGAAAGGAGAATTTTGAAAGCAACTGCTCTTTCACCACATGGAATCAGAAGTAATAGGAGAAGAGAATAATCAGTACTCTCCACTCAAAAAAACCACACACACACAAAAACCCACAATCTCATCCCATCCAAATGGGGTTAAGTTTTACTTCCCTTCACTAGAATACTTGAGTGACTTCATGTAGACTAATTTATTCTGCAACTTATATTAGGTTTATTAATAATAATGATTAATAATTCATATAATTAATTCATTATATTATTGATATTAATGTTACTCATAATAAAATATTAATATTGATTAATTAATATATTAATTATCATTAATATGATAATTAATAATAAGCTTATGCACAGGAGAAAAAATTGTGCGTCCAATTATACTTGGCCAGTAAATCTATTCTACTCTATTCTAGTCTGTTCTGTTCAATTCTAATTAAATAAGTAATGCTGATTTATTAGGTTTATGTCCTGCTGTTATTACAGATAACTCAAGATATCATGCATAACGCTCCCTTCTCCTCTTATGGAGACTTTGCTGATTTCTTGGCTGTGACAAATGAAGCAAAAAAATTATATCTTTAATGTAGACATTAGAATATTTTAGGTTTTGGATT